GTAATAACAAGGAAAGAGAACTTGAATCTGCATGTATCTCTTTTCTTGTTTTCAAAGAAAGGGGTGGGAAAATTCTCATAAAAATATCATGTGACTCAAAATTTCACAATTTTCTCAAAAAATTATTTTGAGGAAATAAAGTTTTCCCATGTACCTAAACTTGAACTAATATTGCTTAAGCTTAATGCCAGAGAACCAAAGAGAGAAAATAAGAAAGAAGTGAAACAGATGAGGCAAGCAATGAACTCCAGACCAGAAACTTCTGAACACCTTAAAAGGTTTAAAAAAGAATCCGTTTCAGTGTTTTAATCATGATATTTATTATAATAAATGTAGAGATGATTTAAAGTCTTATTAAAGAATCCATTTCAGTGTTTTAATCATGATATATGTTATAATAAGTGTAGAGATGATTTAAAGTCTTATTATAGTTACAAGTTTATTTTGCAACATCAGTGCTTGACATTAGTATGGTGGGATGCTGACTCAGACATAGATTTTGTGTTTCCATAAAGATGCAGCATGTGGCCCTATGGAAACCTCAGCTGCATTATTTAAATTTCCTGCAGACTCATGTTGCAAGTATTTTTAGTAAAATTAAATATTTTTATGGAGTAGGTCTGTAACTATCTCAAGGAACAAGCTGAATAAAAATAATGCAAACATTGTCAGACAGTCCTGAAAAAGCATGGTTTTTTAAAGACTGCTTTATTGAGGTATGATTGATAAGTAAAAAGCTGTGCATATTGAATGTATACAACTCGATGAGTTTGGGAATAAGTATATGCCACTACCATCAACGTCATAAACATATCCATCACTCCCAGAGTTTCCTCCCCCCCCATATAACATAGAAATGATGATTATCCTTATTATTTCATGTTGTAAAGCCTGAATTTTGAGTGGGTAAAGAAAATCATCAGGTGGTTGGTTGGTTTCATTGATTGGAATGTAAAGGATTCTTTTTGTGGGATGGCAGACAAAACCCACTCTTAAAAACACACATATGCATTCTTCTATTCTGTTGCCTTTCTTGGCATTTAAATCATCAAGACTGATGGAAGTGGTAACTATGGGGACTTACTGCACATCTGGAAAGTAATTTGGGAAGATGTAAAAGCAGCTGTGCCACCCTGTTCTAATTATTATCTGGAGTGAAGAGTGGCTATTACGGCATATCGTAGGTTGTGAAATGCTGGCTTTCTTTGGCCTGAGTTGAGTTGAACAGCTGCTCTTTTCCTCAGGAGCAACAAATATATTTTTCAGGTCCCCAGATTACTGGGGGAGTTTTGAGTGATTGGGAATGGGATAGAGAATTTCACTCGTAGGGAAAACAGAACTGAAGAGTTGGCTTCTTGTTGGTTTTATGATATTGTAAAATATATTTTTGGTCTTAATCTTGTTTTCTGGCAAACTCCTAAAACCCTTGGAATCTCCAAAGTGATAAGCGTGTTTTTTTGTATGTTAATGAGTTGACTGATGGCTGGCCACTCTAGGTAGCTTCAGAATGGAGGTTGGTCACAGCAAAGACCCAGGTTGGATTAGAGGGTTGGGACTTTTAGCCGCAACCTCTGGGGAGGGGAGAGGGGCTGAAGGTTGAGCTGCTAGTCAGTGGCCTTTGATTTAATCAATCATGCCTACGTAATGAAGCTTCCATAAAAACCCCAACAGCCTGGGTTCTGGGAGCTTCTGGATAGCTGAACACGTGGAGGTTTGTGTAGGGTGGAGGGTCTGGAGGGGGCAGGGAAGCTCCAACTCCCTTCCCCAGTACTCTGCCCTATGCATCTCTTCACCTGATATTCATTGGTATCCTTTGTGAATTCTTTTAAAATAAGTCAGTAAATGTAAGTATAGTGTTTGCCCAAGTTTTCCGAGCCACTCTAGCAAATTAATTGAGCCCCAAGAGGGGGTCGTGGGAACCCCAATTTGTAGCAGGGAAAACAACCTGGAGCTTGCTTCTGGCATCAGAAGTGAAGAGCAGTCTTCTGGGACTGAGCCTTCAGCCTGTGGGTTATGAGGCTGTCTCCAGTTTGGTAGTGTCAGATTTGAACTGGAAAACACCCAGCTGGTGTCCGCTGCAGAATTTGCTGCTTCTTTGGTCTCTGCCTGCCTTGGCCTTCCAGAGTGCTGGCATTACAGGCGTGAGCCAGGCACCTGGCCCCAGGTGCTCAAATAGCTGAGGCAGCTGCGGCATTGAGCCCTTCCCTCCCAGGGGCTGGCCCTTTGCTCTCCTAGTCACAGCTGTCAGGAGCTGGTGGTCAGAACCCACGCCCCCATGGGAGCTGCTCTTCTGCCCTCCTTCTCTCTTAAAGTTTCCTCCAGGAGTTCCCTCAGTCCTCTTCAGGGTGTGTGTTGATGGGGTTATGGGGGATGCGTGGGAGAATGCCTGCTTCGAGCCTCCAGGAGGAACTGCTTGTTGCTCTCTGGGTGCTCTCAGGCCCCTACTGCATGGAGGGCGTGGGGACCGCAGATGAAGGTTACTGAAAGACTGGTACATTTGGGGTTTATATTGTAGGATGGGTGATGGTGCATGAAAGGATCTCAGTGGGGAAGATTCCATCTGATCTTTTAGCAAGGTCATTTGGGTGGCAGGTTGGGCAAAGTTGGGCCATCGGGAGGCCGTAGATGGAAATGGTCGAGTTGTGATCCTGGGGCATGTGTGGTTGAGTTGTGATGAGTCGGAGGATCCTCAGGATCCTAATATCAGTTTATCATGCTGTATTTCAGGAACCTCACCTTAAGATATTCTGTTCTGGCTCCCTCTTCTTCCAAGACAGATTCTGGGTTTTTGTTTTGTGTTTGAGATGGAGTCTCACTCTGTCACCCAGGCTGAAGTACAGTGGTGGGATCTCAGCCCACTGCAACCACCGCCTCCTGATCTCAGGCAATTCTTGTGCTTCAGCCTCCCGAGTAGCTGGGATTACAGGTGTGTGCCACCATGCCCAGCTAATTTTTGTACTTTTAGTAGAGATGGGATTTCACCATGTTGGCCAGGCTGATCTCGAACTCCTGACCTCAGGTGATCTACCCGCCGGCTTGGCCTCCCAAAGTGCTGGGATTACAGGCGTGAGCCACCGCGCCCGGCCCAGGTTCTGTTTTCAGGCAGTTTCCTTTCCTGGAGGCAGTACAGCAGAGGCCAGGAAGCTGAGCGCCACGGTGTGTGTCCTTAGAGGGGCAGCAGCAGATTCCGTCTTGACCTTTGCTGTTTTTCTACTGAACACTTGACAGTAGATGACATTTTGAAGAGGGGGGGGGTCTCCCACCTTGCCTGCTGTGTCAGTCCAGACTGTGGGCTCAGACAGACAAGACTGATTGTAGTGAAGGAGTGACTTTTGTCCAGACACATTCAAAGATCTTCCTGGCCTTCTTGTCTCCACACTGTGCTAGGAACTTTGAGGCCATCAGCTCAAACGCAGAACGTGTTATTGGTGGGGAAGCAAGGAGCTTTCTAAAGTGTCATTTTTTCCCGTTTCGGTTTCTCCTCTCCCTTGGTTCTGTAAACTCAGTGAATGCAGAAGTAGGGTAGAGATGATCCTTGATCTGCCCCAGGCCTCCTGACCAGGGTGTAGGTCTTTAGCAGAAAGGCTTTGGGAGAAATCCAACTCGCAAGCCCTGCTTGCATCTAAGCCTGCTTTGCAGTGTTAGGCGTGTGTTGCTATGGGCAGTGCACCAACGTTAAATAACTGAAGGGCTGGCTAGCAGTCTGTAAAATGGAAAATGTGTGTGTGGCTTTAGGTGATCTAAAAGTCGTATTTTCCTTGGTTGTCTTGGTAAAGTCATTTATTTAAACCAAAGAGCAGAATGTTGGGAGGTTAAAAAAAAAAAAAAAAGAGCTGGAGGAGAGGTCTTTCTGTGAATGAGTGAATGGATAGAAGAAATGGCATAACTTACAAATGTACAAGGCATTTCTGTCATCCACCCTGTGTGTATTCAGGTGTGTATTTAGGAATCCATTGCTCTAAAGGAAGACTATAATGTGGAACAAAATCTTGCAGTGAGTATTACACTGTGAGAGATTTTTAGCACTTACTACATGCCAAGTGGACTACATGAGCCAGCTAAGGTCTAAGCGCCTCACACATGTTACTCCAGTAGTCCTCACTGAAGTAGGTGCTGTGATTATTCAGTGTTCCTCGGAGGTTAAGAGACGTACCTAAGGCCACTTAACCAGTACAAGGCTCAGTGGAGCTGGGGGGAAGCTCAGAATGAGCTCTAGAGCAATTACGTGGCACTTGCCTTGGGGAAGAAACAAGTGACATGTTTACTTATTTATGCAGGTGAATTTGTAACATGTACTCTTGCACCTGGATTTGGAATGCCTAGTGAATAATAAGTCTAATGAATAATATGAATATTAATGACCATAATAATGAATATTGATGAATACTAATGACTAATGAATAAAAAGATTTTCCACTTTTCTGAGGGTCTCCTGAGAGGTGCAGTGAGATCTGTCTCAGATTCTATTCTCTGCCAGTTCTTGAATTCTCAGGCTCCCATCAGAATCCCTGGGAGGGGTCCTGACATCTGTCTCTTTTATGAGCTTCCCAGGAGGTGGTGATGCAGGCCAGGGGCCTCACTGGGCATTAGGAGCCTCTTCCTCACACAGTGCCTTTGCTGAAGGTGCTTCCCTGGTGTTTCCTCTCTTAGCCCTGCTAGGCAGGCAGAGAGATGGGTGTCGAAGACCCTGATGTTGGCACCAGACCATCCCAGGTTGGAAAGCTGGCCTCTGTGCTTCTTAGTCCCAGGATTTGTGGGCAGTCGCTCAACTTCTTTGAGCTCCTGTTTACCCATCAATACAAGTGGGGAAAAAACAGGCCCCTGTCAGAGGGCTGCCCTGAGGAGTAGGAGATCCTGTAGGTGAAACAACCTGGCACTTGATGTTTCCCGCTTAAATACCGGCCTTTATTACAATAAACTCTGCATAGAGGGAGGTCTGATGGCTGTGGGCTTTTCCCGGGTGCACTGACCTGACTGCCTTTGTTTTTCTACCCCTTCAGGACGGTTCGCTGGGAAACATCGATGACCTGGCGCAGCAGTATGCAGATTATTACAACACCTGTTTCTCCGACGTGTGCGAGAGGATGGAGGAGCTGCGGAAACGGCGGGTTTCCCAGGACCTGGATGTGGTGAGTGGGAATCCTGAGAATATGCTTTTGTGAGCAGAGCTGCTCCAATTTGGGCTTCTCCTTGGTCCTTCTCCCAGTGCTAGCTGTTCCTGGGGTATCAATCTGTAGGCTACTGCACTAGTATGGGGTAAAAAGTTCAGATCCCTAAAGGACTGACCCAGTTCTGCTGCGGATATCAAACTGAGTGAGTGCTGGCTGGAGCAATAGGATTGAACCTTTGCATTCATTAAAAGAATAGATTTTTATTTTTATTTTTTTAACTTAAGGAAAAAGTATGTTTTTACTATTCACCAGTGTATACTACATTTTTTATTGACTCTAAGCCCAAAGGATGTCTAGGCTAATTATTGCCCCCTCTTCATTCCTTTTTTCTTTTCTTTTGGAAAGCAACATAAAATTTAAAGGAACAATGAATTGCCTGTAGTCTCTCACCTAGCAATAATCACATTGATGTTTTAGTAGGTATCCTTCCAATGTTTTTGTGGGCATTTAAAAATCAGCAAAACTAGTCCACTGCTAAAGACGCTTTTTTTTTTTTTTTGAGACGGAGTTTCGCTTTTGTCCCCCAGGCTGGAGTGCAATGGTGCGATCTCAGCTCACCGCAACTTCCGCCTCCCGGGTTCAAGCGATTCTCCTGCCTCAGCCCCCCAAGTAGCTGGGATTACAGGCATGCACCACCACGGCCGGTTAATTTTGTGTTTTTAGTAGACACAGGGTTTCTACTTGTTGGTCAGGCTGGTCTCGAACTCCCAAACCCCTCCCAAAGTGCTGGGATTACAGGCGTGAGCCACCATGCCCGGCCTAAAGACACTATATATATATAAAAAAATCATATTTTTAATATATATAAAATCAGTGAAACAATGCTGTATCTATATATTAAAAAAAATTTCTTCCTTTATTACTTAACATTGTATTGTAGCTCATATTCCCTGTCCTTGAAATTCCTTGTCATCACCATCTTTCATGGCTATGTTCTCCTCTCACTCAGGTGCATTGAAATAAATTTGGCTGTTTGTGAAAACCTTTATGTGTATAGTCAGTGGCACATTTGGCCTTGTATGTGATAAACAGTAACTAAATAGTGTGGGTGCTATATATTTAATTTTTATGTATACTAGTAGTTCAAAATTGTATATTTGCTATAAAATATCATAAAAGCTTCTGCATTTCTCAGTTTAAATATCTTACTATTGGATTCACTTTAGTTCCGTGCCTTTCACATAGTTTTGTTTCATCATGCCCACCTCAGGACCTCCTCAAGAAATGGGGTTGAAGCAGAGGAAAATGTTCAACCCTCTGTATCTCCTCATCCAGACCCGTTCCTTTTGAGCCATCTCAGATAGTGGGGGCTGCATGGATATGTTTTAACTAACAGAGTTTCTCAACCTTTAAAAAAATGTTTGAAAACTAAGCTGGGCATGGTGGCTCACGCCTGTGATCCCAGCACTTTGGGAGGCTGAGGCTGGTGGATCACCTGAGGTCGGGAGTTGGAGACCAGCCTGACCAACATGGAGAATCTCTACTAAAAAATATAAAATTAGCCAGGCGTGGTGGCACATGCCTCTAATCCCAGCTACTCAGCAGGCTGAGGCAGGAGAATCACTTGAACCTGCTGAGAGGCAGAGGTTGTGGTGAGCCAAGATCGCGCCATTGCACTCCAACCTGGGCAACAAGAGTGAAAGTCCGTTTCGGGAAAAAAAAAAAAAAAAAAAAAAAAAAAAATTGAAAACTGCTGATTCAATTGAATCCTTATTTATCCTCCTTCTACCTCCTATTTGTCTACTTAGGGTAAGCACACACACAAATAATAATTAAGTAACTAATTTAGAACTAATTAAGAACAGAGAATTCTTTGTTAATAATTATTTTTATGTTATATACAAGGGTTCTGTGATTCCTCTCTTATAAGAGACCCAGCAAGGGGTTGGGTACCCCTGCTGTATATTCTGTAAGTGAACATAATCTGTTTCCACTGTGAGACTAGGATGTTCTTATGTACTGTTATTTACTTTCTTAACCACGTAAAGATTCCTTGGATCAGGAGTAACAATATATCATGACTGCCAAATATTAATTGATTCTCTTTCTTTTATGTTCACCAATTTAGTAGTTGCAGGGATGGGAGTTAAAGTTGACTGAGGCTGAGAAGTGTCATCCAGGGGCTGAAAGCCATCACCTCGGGAGCCTGACGCCTTGGCCCAGGTGGGCGGCAGCACTGTCAATGGCTTGTTTCCTTTAACTTTGCTCCTTGACATGTGTGAATGCTGGGGTTATTTCCTCCTTTGGAAAGTAACTTTATGAGTCAAAAGACTCCCACACTCTTAAAATTCATTAGGCTCTCCTGTTGGAGCATAGTTAATGAAAAAATACTTTCATTTTGGCAAGATTACCACAGGACAACTTAAATATTGCATAATGCCCTGAATTCTTGAATGTTTCAATTCTTCTTCTTCTTCTTTTTTTTTTTTTTTTCGAGATGAGGTTTCGCTTCTGTTGCCTAGGCTGGAGTGCAATGACGTGATCTGGGCTCACCACCACCTCTCTCTGCCTCCCGGGTTTAAGTGATTCTCCTGCCTCAGCCTCCCGAGTAGCAGGGCTTACAGGCATCCACCACCATGCCCGGCTAATTTTTTTTTTTTTTTTAGTAGAGATGGGGATTCTCCATGTTGGTCAGGCTGGTCTCGAACTCCTGACCTCAGGTGATCTACCCACCTTGGCCTCGCAAAGTGCTGGGGATTACAGGCGTGAGCCACCACGCCTGGCCAGAATGTTGTAACTCTTGCCTCTAATGATAGTCTGGTAGGACTCTGTGGCCTCCTTAGACATTTTACTGTGCTTGAGGAAATGATTGCTGTGAACTGGCGAAAGATGGACCACTGACACAACACTAAACTGCTCTTCTCAGGATTCTAGCTGGTTAGGAGTTGGGGTTACTATCGTCATCCCATGGTGTTTGGGAACCTTGGAAGGCAGCTTCTAGGTAGGAGAGAAAGTCTGCCCATCGGTGGGATAAATAACCGCCTTCTCATTCAAACAGGTGGGGCTAATTTGGTGTGCTCTGTTCCAAAACCGCAGAAGACAATGTGGGGGAAAAAAACACCACATGAGCTTAATTAGTTCCCATCAAAAGTACAAGAAGTTGGTGGTGGGTAAACTTGATGGGAGCTGATTCAAGCCAGACTGGAAGCATGACTGTTCATTCTTTAAATTGTAGTTAGCGGCCGGACACGGTGGCTCATGCCTGTAATCCTAGCACTTTGGGAGGCTGAGGCGGGCGGATCATGAGGTCAGGAGATCGAGACCATCCTGGCTAACATGGTGAAACCTGGCTCTACTAAAAAATAGAAAAAATTAGCTGGGCGTGGTGGTAGGCGCCTGTAGTCCCAGCTACTCGGGAGGCTTAGGCAGGAGAATGGCATGAACCCAGGAGGCGGAGCTTGCAGTGAGCCAGGATCCTGCCACTGTACTCCAGCCTGGGTGACAGAGTGAGACTCCATCTCAAAAAAAAAAAAAAAAAAAAAAAAAAAAAAAAAAATTTGTAGTTAGCGAGTAAGACCCCAAATTGGCATAGTCAGATTCTCTCTCTCTCTCTTTTTTTTTTTTTGAGACAGAGTTTTGGTCTTGTTGCCCAGGCTGGAGTGCAATGGCGTGGTCTCAGCACACTGCAACCTCTGCTTCCTGGGTTTAAGCAATTCTCTTGCCTCAGCCTCCCAAGTTGCTGGGATTACAGGCTTGCACCACCATGCCCGACTAATTTTTGTATTTTTAGTAGAGATGGGGTTTTGCCATGTTGGCCAGGCTGGCCTCAAACTCCCGAACTCAGATAATCTGCCTGCCTTGGCCTCCCAAAGTGCTGGGATTACAGGCGTGAGTCACTGCATCCAGCCTTCAGATTCTCTTTCTATGAAATTCCAGACAAGTTGCAGTGGAAAAGGGAAATTCTAAAACTGGCAAGGATCGGGTTTAGGTGCTGGATGTTTCCTGTGTCACTCACATGGCTCCGAAGTCTAGATGTCCATGTTAGATGTGTTTTGAGGCTAGTCATCATTTAGGCTATGACACAACGCTATCGGCCTCCTGAAAGTTCCCTCTCACAGTGCTTAACACTTTTGACTCTTCCTGGGGACTCATTTCCTTGAAATGCTGTGACTTCCAGTCTGTCATGTTCCCTTTTATTGCATTAGAATTTTACATATATTTCTAATCTTTCAATTCTGCCTTCAGATAAGTAAACAATATGCTTTCCCTCCTGGCTGCTTGGTTGGAGCAACTTCAGGTCTGAGGACCTGCAGCTTAATTATTTCTTTCTTTCTTTCTTTTTTTTTTTTTTTTTGAGATGGAGTTCACTCTTGTTGCCCAGGCTGGGGTGCATTGGCATAATCTCGGCTCACTGTAACCTCCGCCTCCTGGGTTCAAGTGATTCTCTTGCATTAGCGTCCCAAATAGCTGGGATTACAGGTGTGTGCCACCACTCCTGGCTAATATTTTGTATTTAGTAGAGATGGGGTTTCACCATGTTGGTCAGGTTGGTCTCAAACTCCTGACCTCAGGTGATCTACCTGCCTCAGCCTCCCAAAGAGTTGGGATTATAGGCATGAGCCACTGCGACCAGTCAGTTTCTTTCTATGCTTGTCAGCAGCCCTGTCAAAGCTGAATGCAAGATGGCTTTGAGACAAAATAATGTTAAAAGCAGAAGAGGAAATATGCAGTAACATGTTAGAAGTCTCAGACATTTTATAGGGAAAAAGTAGCATTAGATTTGTTGTGTCTGCTCTAGAAAAAGTCATTTTAGAAGACAGCCTTGGGGACAGAAAATTTTGGGTGATGGGTTGACTTGGTTTATGGCTTTGTTTCATTCTAAATCTTCTGGGTGAATTTAGGAGATTGAAGAAATAGTCTACAGACAGAATACTTAGATATTTGTGTTTAACTTTAAAAAGTCAAAAAATGTGTTGTCCTTAAGAGCTAATTATGTATCAACTGGAGAACAAACAAAA